TTTTTTTGGGGGGGGGGGAAATCAATTTTTTTGTTGAAAACAGCTTCAAATTTTGCATTTTCTGCAACGTTTATACGACATTTTCGTAATAATAGCTTCAAATTTCCCAACGAAAATTTTCATATATGACGATATATTATCAAAGTTATATTTCGGTTCTACCATAAGGAAACCGAAAAATTCAATTTCAAAGAGACAATTTACAAACAATTGACAAGATTCAATTTCAAAGAGAAAATATACTTTGGGCGGCGGCTTTGGTGGATGGCTTGGATGGCTACTGGCAAGAGGATGGGGCAAGACCGAAAAACTAGCCAAGATCAATGAAACTGAATAGTACGAGAAATTTTGTGCCATTCTGTAGAACTACGTGTTCGTACTTGACCTTGAGGTGCCATTATTAATAACTGGAAGTATAGGAAACAAAAAAATATCAGCCAGCAAGATAGTAAAAGGTTTCATGTCAAAACACGTTTAGTTATCTTTCAATATATTCAAAATATGCACTTATCAATTGATATTTTATTTGAAATTATTTACTGTAATTGTGATTGAACTATTAATTACAGTGCTCTTTGACGGTACTTTCCATACATTTCGGAAAAGAGTGGGAGAAGCATGTTTTCTGTGTCACTTCTTACCCCTCTCGTATCACGTCCCTTACAAAAATTCCTCTATTCTTCCACGTGTCTATCTTTTGATTTTAATGGAAACGAGTCAAACGTTGCGGCTCTTGCTTCTAATATATCGGGCGGATAATGCGAAATTATCATCCATTTCGAATTAAATATTGTACATCACACGGCAAAAAGTCAATTTTCATTACGACGGAATTCTCCCTTAGTCTCCGTGGATGAAGTCCAGTCTCGTCATGAAAGGTTTCTTGCCTCATGACGTAAATTACTATTTTAACGTTAATAATTGGGACACAGTGTTCTTTGATGGCCAATGAACAATGTTTTGTTGAAACAGTTTATTTTTAATATATTATTTAAATGACGTTTTAAATTATACTTTATTAACACAAATGTTTCTTGGAAATGAGTTCTAGGGTTATTTTTAAGTGAGATGAAGAAATGTAACGAAAATACAGAAATTATGTTAATAATAATAACAAAACATTAACACATAAAGCAAAACTATTCAAAGCATTGACCTTTCCGAATTTCATCGATAAATAAATCTTATTCATACAGCTCTGTCGTTAGTAATTCGGAATCTAATATCGTTCGATACTGGACATTTTACCAGAAAATATACACAAAGAAAATGACCCCGGAAAATTCCTTTATCTAATACACCGTGCATCAGGGAAGAATACTCCGCAGTCTACTTTTAAAAACTATAGTATTGGTTGTTGTTCCAAGAATTCGCTAGAAATATTGCAAGATAGCAGCACATTCGTGACAACGCATATTCTCTTTTGTTCATTAACTTTCAAAAATTGTCATCAGATAGCATTACTGCTTACTAGTAGGAGTTTACAAAGGCGGCCACGTTAGGCCAATATCATTTGCACTTCTTGTCAGGAAAAAGGTAGGTGGGACCGGATTTACCCTATGAAGTGATACAGCCCTGGTCATGTTACCGTTCAAAAATATCTCTTTTTCTACGTATTAATATTTTTGATTGTGAATTGTCAAATTTGAAAATTTAAAACATGCACTCACAGCGAATTTCGGTTACAATATACAAATTAATATTTATCTATTTCAATAAAACGTACAGGTTTTCAGATATTAAATATTTTAAAACACAATTTTCGAAAGACTTGCTCCAGCTGGTGAATATATTTTGCTGCATTGCGTTTTTTTGTTTTTTTTTATTTCCAAGCTTCATTCATCATTCCCACACAGCGCATACGCCAAACTTGGAAGTCATAGACACCACGATAAGGAAAAATCGCTTTGTTTCTCAATGTTATCTTCCGAATGTAGACTGTACAGCGATTTATTCATTTACGAACTCTCTGTGTTTGAACTCTCTGGAAATTGCAGATAAGGGGGCGGCGAGCACGGCGGCGCCGACGCCCCAGCAGTCACACCGCAGCGACGGCATGGAGAGGTTGAAGGGCCTCGGCCCATCCCGGATGGACGTCAAGAGGCAGTACGGAGCGGCGCTAGTTGGTAAATACCAATGAGCCGAAGAGCTTTCTGGAAGGGGAAATCGTTTCATTTGAACCGCTTTGAACAGTTTCCGGAAATCGTTGTATTTCAGCCGTTTTGTTTGAATTTTATGTTCTGTTTTTATTTTATTACGATCTACAAAACCTGCCGGTCTAAATGAAACGATTTCCGGAAAAGGGACTTCTATATCTGCAGACTCTTTGTTCTTCTCCATTAAGAACAGAGGCGCAGTAAGGATTGTATTTTTTTTTTTTTTGCGCGCTCGCGTGTGTATGTGTGTGTGAGGGGGCATATGTGTGATGTCCAGCCGACTTAATGCTTTCTTATAAAGATTTTCATTGAATAAAACAAATTACTGCAAAAATTATTAAAACAACGCACAGTTCGTAAACAATGCGTCCTCGACCCTTAAAACCAGTCTCGATCACGGTCAAGAGATTTGAGGGACAACCGGGATTTTTTTAGAGTTAGTTCTTTTGGATGCTTCCACTCACAATGTGTGTGGTCAGATAAGTGAAAAAGCCCGTATCCAAATTAAAAACACCTTTAAGAAAAACGAAAGAAAATCCTTCACGATAAAATGAAAGGACTGTTTGATTTTTTGTCCAATTTAATCCCAACTCTTAGTAGTGGCGAGGAATTTGGCCATCGATAAAAGCGGCGATGAACAAGGAAAATAATAAAAATATTGCGTTTTAAATATGTTAAACAAGAATTTGATAATTAATCAATAAATGATCAAATTTAAAGAACATCAGTTAACAAAAACCGACAAATAGGCATAAGATAAGGAGAAGATTGCTAAGAAATAATTAAATATTAAGAATCGAATAGAAAGCTCACCGTCCACTCTCGGTGAATAAACTTGCCGCAGCAGTTTGTATCCTTTTGCATGACGATAAGCGATTTTACTCATCTCTTCTTTGGAAGATTCTCGTCAGTGACTTTCGGACATACCTGACGAAACTCGCCATTCAATCTTTCAGTATAATGTCGTGAGAGAAAAGATACAAGTGTTTTGGGCGTGCTGATTCATTGATGCTTCTACTGAGTTTTAGTTATCAGGGTTTTGTTAATTGTCAGGCATTATAGGAAAACTTATCTAATATATCGTAGTTCAGTTGAAACAAAAAAATGGTTAACATGTGACGCGCTGAAAGGTCGAAACTGTCCTTCTTTATTAAATTTGACAAAAAATTCACCAAAAGAAATCAGATGTACCCCAAGCACTTAATAGTAACTAGTTGTGAAGTTTACAAGTGGCTGTATGGAAATAAGCGACAGATCTTTTGAAAATAAAAGGCAAAGCCAACAAAATACATCAGTAAAAATGTTTGGGTTTCTGCTAGATTTTGTATTTTAAGCGCGCTTACAGAGTCGGCTAAAGCTCACAAAAAATCAAAATATTTCCAACTTATTTGATCTCAATCTAATGAATTTGTTTTACGCCTACCTCAAACTTAAGCCCTATCTTAAGTTCCTGTTCACACAGACAAGAAACCAAATAATTTTATAGAACTTTCAATTTTAATATAGTCTGAAGATTTCAGAAAATATATTGGATTGAATGGTGAGAAATAGTATCAGCCTATTTAAGAGTATGAAAGATGCAAAGAGTATAAAAATAGTTCTATTATCCATCTCCCAATAGCTTCAGAAAGATAAGCCAGTATATTCTACACATCTTGCCAAGCAAAAATGCTACGCCTGGCTTAGCATTTGCCACTGGGCTTAGAAGTATTCGAAACTGCCACAATACTGGATTTATGATGCTGTTACGCACAATTCAGAGACTGGCCGTTCGATATAGGGTTCTACTATGAACCAATTCTCACTTTTAGAACAATTATTGACAAATGGTGCAGATTTTTCACGGATCCAATCTTATTTTAATGATTTCTGTTAGTTACGTTTAATTTTGTTTACGACTCTGGTGGCTAATTCTTAGAACACAGTGCAGTTTTTCTTTCGCCTGTCATTATTTATTACATATACTGGCAACCTTTCATTTTTGAGGTGAATGGCTTTTAAAAATAGTCCAAGTGGTAAGATCATTTGGTAAAAAAAATTCATATAACAAAAACATGATTTATTATTAGAGCTTATATGTTTGCAACCTTAATTCCTGCGTCCCTGATTTTGTTCTTCGGTACATAAAAAAAGACATTACTCGATTACGCAGGTGTCAAGTGCTTAGATGCCGCTCCAAGGTAAATTGTGTTGTGCGTGACCTTCAAAGAGGCGTAGCTCGGCTTTTGTGGATCCGAACACGAGTGCTCTCGTTGGCGAAAACTCACTTCGCCGTAGGAAATACCACACTCCATCGGTGAGAAAATCTCGTAAAAAGTATAATGCTCAAAACTGTAATTTTGTGGATAAATTGCATTCTTGCTCTGCTCTGACCCCCTGGCATTCGATACTTCGTGTCCAGAAATAGCGTGAATAGATTTGGTCAGTAAGAAAAAGTAATTTCAGTTTGCAGAGGGGGCGCACTCGCTAAACTAGGCTTGTAAAATCACTAAACAATAGCACGCCTTGTTATCATTGCTTACATATCATTTCAACCGCACCAGCTATGCGCCTTCCTTTGGTATAGATATTTTAGAAAGAAGACGTATTCGATTTTGCATAACCCGCAAGCGTGACAGAATTGGGCAAGGAAAACAAGGATATCAATACTGTACTTTTCCCTTTGAAACAAAAAATATTTAATTTTGGTGAGTAGGTGGACTCTTACTAAAACAACGTGTAACCACATTTGACAAAAACCTTATACTTTTATCGCTTACGCCTTCGCAACTGTACTTCCTGCAAACCTTACTTTTGGCATCTTTCTGTATAAAAATAAGCAATTAGATGATCACGCATGTGTTATGTTCGCCATTGTGGGCGCACATTTGTCCCAATCGAAGCGAAATCAGCCTTGCTCGCGGCTTACAGACAGGCTAAGCTCAGTAATGTTTGCTGCCCTTCTTCATCACCAAGCCCAAACCCAATCAGCGCATTATTATGAAATTATAAATACTGCACTTTTATATTCGCTGGATTATCCAGAAATGTATGCACTTGTCGCTACATATAATATTACTTTGCTTTCTTTACATTAACACTCAATATTACTTTTTCACCTTCTTAATTTACGAACATAATTTTCGTAACTTTTAATACTTGTAGCTGTGAAGGTACGCCACCGGAAAGGTACTTGAGCTGCATTTCTGCATAATCAAATCAGTGGTGCTAAAACACGAACATTCTCACCCTTATTAAGTGTTATGTAACACTACTTATACAAGAATTTCTTTCCGAATAAATACATCTCGGTCATTTTCTCTACAACTCATTACAATTCGTAGAAAGTTTGGTGGGAAAACTAAACATTTCCTAGCATATATCCAAATCAAAAACGTAGCAAATTTTTTTGAAGATTTTGAAAATGTCGCAGGGTTTTCATGTAAAGAATCCCCAGAATTAAAGTTTCGGTTTCAAATGCATGGAGCCGCAAAAGCGGTCGAATTCATAGAGGAATATCTATTCTGGAGAAAACCGGCTGAACAGTTAAGCCGCTAGCGTTGTTCACAGATGGACGGATGGACAGACTTGCGTTTTGTCGTCATTCGATTTTTCGGTGTCAAGGACCCATACAACATTTCCGACTACACCATATGTTAGAGTTTTTACTTTTACAATATTACTACCATGGTAGAGAGAAAGTTACGTAATGCTGCGAGAAAAACCGCGAATTTTCCGCAGAAAAACTCTTCTTACAGGGCTCTAGTAACGAAAATGTGGATAAATAAAGTTGCTAAATTTAGAAAAAAATCCTCTAACACGTGTGGTGTAGCCAGAATTCATGTTTTGTGGGTCCTTGATACCGAAATACCGATTGACAGCGAAACGTCTGTCCGTCCGCCTGTGAAAAATGCTAGTGGCTAAACCGTTCCGTCGATTATCTTCAAAATTGATATTTCCCAAACGACCTGGCTAATGTTGCGGTCCCTTGAATTTGAAATCGATGTTATGATTTTGAGGGTACTTTACATGAAGCTTCTAGGACATTTTCATATTTAAAAAAATGTCACCATCGATTTTGATGACGTTCTATTGTTAGATAGCCTGAAGGACTTTTGAGAGAATGGTGTAGGTATCATGTTGATTTTAAAATCCTGATTTTTCGAAAATTAAAAAAAGTTCTGGGACTTTCTACAACTAAAATATAAAAGATAGAGAATTTTCCCTTAGTAAAATCTGTTCCTTAAAGATAGATTTGAAAGTAAGGTCTTATATAATTTTTCGAAAGTCTAAGTATTTTCCACGTAATTTTGTGTAAAATTTAGACCAATTTTATTTTTTTAAAATATTTTTTTCTCCAAAACGGCTCCATCGATTGCAATTTTGTTGTTGGATATTCTGAAGGACGTTTAAGAAAATGGTGCAGGTGTCATGTTGGACGAAAATTTATTAAACTTTGATAGTATAAAAGATGCTTAAGAGAATGGTGTAGGTCTCATGTTCGTTGAAATGCCTGATTTCGCGGAAATGAAAAAAACAAATTCGGCTTCTGCCTACAACTACAATTGTGAAGATAAATTATTTTTGTTAATGAAATGTCTTTATCAAGAATAGATCTTCAATAAAGCCATGTTACATTTTTTGAAAATATGTGTATTTTAGGGTAATTTGGAGACATTTTTATACATATGGTTGAAATACATTACAATAGTTATTGTTCAAAACTTTGTATGACTGTCAATTACTAATGTACTGGAATTTACAATATTTTGTTGAAATAAAAAGTATTTAATACAAAATTATTTTATTTTTACCTTATTGTGATCGCAATGTATTTCCTAGAATTAATTCTTAAATGTTGAATAATTGTAAACGTAAAAAACTCCTCTGCAGAATAACAAGCCATAGTTCACCCGAAGGCACATGTTCGAGCGTTTTTTAGATAAATCGGGACGGAAACGCGCAAGTCGGCACACCGTGTACATAGCGCG